GCGAGCTCAGGCCAACTGTGTGTTGACAAACAAAGTTTGGACTCCCTTATCGTCTTTACTTTTTGATTCTTTATGCTGCTTTAGAGAGAAACTTGGTCAATCAATCCTCATGACGAATAAATGAATAATTTCAAGAAAGTTTCCTGCTGGCCATACTTTATTCGGAAAATATATTTTTTCAAAGCATATAAACAAAAAGGTTATACTTTTCGAAATACTTTTTATTTCTTGGTGTTTCAAGTTGACTACGCCAATAACAATATATATTCTATTATAATCATTCTCAAATAGCATTCGTATAAGATTAAGTCAGTCTTAATAGGGGCGTCAATTTTATTTAGTAACTGTACACATTGTATTTAATTAGAACTGTTATTTATATACTATGTAAGTTGGATACGATTGTTTTATTATGACAATAAGAATAATAACAATAATTGTAATTATAAGTTTATCAATAAATAATAATTACTATTGCCTTTAAAATTTTTATTATTAATATTTCAATAACGTTTATTTTTGAACAGATAATAAAATTTTGGAACAACATACAAAATTTTCATTCCACTGAAATTTATGTTTATTCAAATGGAAGTATCAAGTATGCGTATGGTTCTAATTAAAAAATAGAGACTTAATTATTTCCTAGTATCAGTAAATTAAAAATAGTGATAAAATACTAAATAAGTACTGGATGACAAGTGATAAAATAACATTTTAAAGATATAATAATAAACAAAGGACTGATTCCCATTCAGTTACAATTTACATAGTTAGTAAAGAAAATTGACTTGATGTTATATGAATGACATTTAAAAACTATTACAGTATAGAATTGTGATTCACGCAGACAACTCAGAATGTTGTACCAAGAAACGGAAATCATTTTAAAAAGGAACTTTTTTTCATTCATGTATAAATTAATTCAACACAGTAACTATTTTTAGAATTATTATAAATAATCACATTATAAGACTCTGAGCTGACAAGTAGAATAAAATTCGAGTAAATTAGTTGGATGCGATTCAGTTAATTCATAGGATCTTTTTAATAGTAATTAAGTGTTATACACTTAGCTGTAAAAAGCCTGATACATGTTTATAAAAAGTCATAGTATTTCCACTTAGAACCTTAAAAGTTTCAGACACTAAAACTCTAGAACAAAAAACACAGAAATATTCACAATGTGATGCTATCCATTATCTGCTCGTAAAAACTCATAACACTATTGAAGTATTGGTTTTGATACTTGAATGTGGTACCTAAAAGCTACGATAGTTATTTTCTACCTGACATATCATTTAAAAGCGGATCTTACTTTTTTTTTTTGTATGGAAACAAGGGTATTGTTTTCCAAGCGTCTCACTCGGTGAAAGAAAATAATAGGATGATCTAGCTGAGCTCAGATAAAAAAGAAACTAGAAACATAGTGATTGAAAAATAATATTTTTAAAGTGATATGTGTACCGATGGTCAACCAGGATTTAGAAACGATGTCTTTCGTTTTGGAGTATCTTATCAGATTCATTTTTTGTCGCCAGTAATAATTTGATGCAAGAACGACTTTCTCTTTTGTCTTTAAAGCAACAGTTAACATTGTGTACAACGAATCTTTCGAAACATTAGTAGTCTTACTTATGAATGCATCCTACTGCTTTTAAACGCTTCATTACTCTTAATCATCAACTTATACTGATGTTGACGAATCTGTAAGTATCTGATGTGAATCTTCATTCAATAGCGTTTCCAAGTCATTACCTTCAAAATTGTATCTTTTACGCTGTAGTTGTCGGCTTTAAACTGCTAAAACCATTCGCTATAAATTTTTTCAGGAGGAGCATTATTACTATGAACTTCCAGAAGTAAATGACGACTCTAAGCTGTAGTTTCCTTTTAGAAAAAAAATGCAATAAAATCCCCGGCCTAAGCTTTTCTGTATTAGGAACAAAATACGACATTTTTAATGTGACAACAATAAACATTTTTAATAATACTGAAATAGAATGGAACATACGAAATTTTAACGCCTGTTCGCAGTATTTCTACATGCATGCATTGCCGTCTAAAACTACTCGCCCACATAATGGTAATGGTATAATTATGTCAGTGAACGGCAGAAACTTATTTAAGTACCCAATGAATACTAGTGAGAGTTAGCTGTTAACACTTTTTCTGAGTCTTAAGTTACTTGCTATATACAATATTTTAGTTCAAAGTATAACATGCAAGAAATTTTTTTCATGATGAAAATCATTAAAACTACAACAAGTACAGGAAAATAAAAATCTTCGCATAACTCTATTCATACTATAGGTGATGTGAGCTAGTTCTGAAATATTTTAATACTTGTTGCATGCTTACACTTCTCACACAGAAAAATGTTTCATATGGTTAGTGAAAATGACTACTTTGCAAGCCTATTTCTACCAAAAAATTGAAGCTCTGTAAAAACATAGTTTTTTTTTTATTTCTTATATTTATATAAATAACAGGGTCTCTTATTTCTTTAAACCAACGCTGTTATGTATGTTGTATCATAGGGTTATAACAACAATTAGCAATTTTTTTGTGTGCACTATGAATTTGTATTAAATGCTTATTTCTTAGTGAAACAAGAATCAATTCTCAATAAAAATATTATTTAAATTTATTCCAAGATTTATATGTTTCAGAAATTTTACTATTTCTTCTCTGATACCATACCTCTTAAAGCTGTTCGCTCCGCGCAGCACTTGGAAAGAGCCCCACCTTTAGGGGAAAATATGTCGATACTAAAGAACAAGAATACACAGCCTTTTATGAACAATAATGTGTTACAAGCGTCTATTTCAACAATATTGCATCATTAACAACTGACGTAAATTCTTTGGGTGTTGAGTATACTTTCGAGCTTAAAAATACCTATAAATGGTGAATTGATAAAAAAATTAATACAATAGTTATTTACGTAACAAGTGCGGAAAAGACGATTTCCCGCACGAGTCGTGATTGACTCGCACGAGTGGGTGGAGTTGACGGGAACGAGTGCCAGTTGAGCACGGCACGAGTTACCGTTACCGGCCATAAGTGGCAATTTCAAATCCTGAAAAAATATTCATTACAATAAATATAATTTCTGTATGGCTGAGCAAGTATTATTAAAAGATGATGTGAGCAATCTTCTTGACTACAAGAAATATTTGAAGTGATTTTAGTGCGTCTATATATCGTACGCCATACAGAAAGTCAAGCAAGCTAACCTTTTTGTATTGTTTGGACAGTCATATACTAGAATTTGACATCATTTTTTTTCTGGTAGCAGTATCGAGGCTATTTTGCTCGATTTTGTTATAAGCGTATGAGTTATACACCCACTAAAATCACTTCACATTTTTTTTGTAGTCAAAAAGGTTTCTCACACGATCTTTGAATGACACTTGCTCAACCATACAAAAATTATATTGATTGTAATAAATATTTTTTATGGATTTGACATCGTGGAAGTCGTCCACTATCCAGCCAGCGTTGCAAAAAAACACCGACTAGAGCGCTGGCTGACTTCACTCTCACAGCGAATATGAGTTTTACATTGGCTTTGTAATCTAGAATCTCATAGAACGTGTGGGTTACATTCTAGGTCAAAATGTTGTGTGCAAAAAAGTTGTATTTCAATAAGATCTACAACTTTTGTTGTCAATTTTACAATCCAAAATATAAAACAAATAAGTAAGATGGAGAAAAATATATTTGTTTTGCTATTTTTGAGCACTTTTCGACCTACAGAACGTTTGGGTTTCTTTCTGGACGAAAATAGTAATTAAAAAAAAACAGGTGTGAGTCGTGAGACCCACGACAAATGTGAAACATTAAGGAATATATTATTGAACTCGGTAGTATTTGATTGTCTACGATGACAATAGTAGTTTTTGTCAGGTAAGTGCCATCGTCTCCAGGGTTATTTTGCGGCCTGAAGAACCTACGAAACAAGGCCCGAGGGACGTAAGGCAGCCACGGAGCAATGGCGCTTGTGTGGCGAATCCTATTTTTTTTACCGAGTGCATGCCAGTCCCTCAAAAATGCACGAGGTAGGAAAAGTATTAATTTTTTTAACTTTAAATAATCTTCATTTCATATTTTCATATTAAAAAGACAGTTTATTTATGAATATGTATCTTTATCAGTGAATATTATGGATTAGGAAAAAGCAAATTATGTTTATATTTTTTTTGTTCATTAACATATAAACAACGAGAATGAGAAAGAAAAGTAATTGACAGTAAAGAATATCTATACTACCTACCTACACAAAGGTACGTACAGTAGTTTAACGAACTTTCTTTTTTATTACTTTCTCTGTCCCTCTGTCTCTTTACAGATTCGGATACCTGTTTACTGTGCGTAGTTGTGCATGTGCGCGAATTTTGTTATGTTGACTCTTTACTAAAGACGGATTAAGATGGAGTTGGAATATAACACCGAGATAAACGCAGTTGGAAAACCCCGGGAAAACTGTGCATTATGGTTAAATAATAATATTTTGAAATAATCCTATTTACACAAAAGAAATTTTTTTTAAATGATGAAAAAATGTTGCTAAATCTTATATTGATTAATCATATTCTACAAGCACAAAATCGAGCACAAAATATTTAAAAAAAGCAATGAAAAAGGCCTACCTGTATGAGTACAATAGAGAGAGAGAGGGAGAGAGAGAGCGAGCTTTGTCATTTACTTTTAAAGTTATAATCAAATAAGATGTCCAATGACAGTCGGTAAATAATTGAAAACAACGTCTACGTCCCGACCCTCATCAGGTGCAAAAAGCTCTGACTCTTACGAAAGGGACAATTCGTAATGATTTTGCATCAATACAAAAATAATGACAGAATCACCATTCGACGTTGTTTTCAATTTTAAAGTTATTTTAATTTTATTTTTATTGAAACCAGATAATTTTATTTAATTATTTTACATCAATCATTACAAACTGAGAAGTAACTCATTGAATTATCTTCACTTACCTACTGCTATTAACTGAAGTATTGCTTCTACTGCGTCGTGAAAGAATAGAGTCCCCACGATTGACGACTCCTTTGTTGGTTATACTGAACGCCCTTAGTCTGTATAAGTCATCTCCAGATCGAGGATTATACGCTTTCTCCGGTAGGCTAAGGACTCGAGGTCTTATATGGTCTGGAACTAATAAGACATTTACATTTTTCATAATTTCTGATCGTATTTCTTTGTAGTCAATGTTTTGCACNGAATTGAATAAAAGTCCCCTTTCAAAACTATTCATTTTTTTAAAGTAAAAGCTCCTCATCAAATGAAAACTGTATGACAAAAAATTGTCAGTCAATGTCTATCTTTTTTTTCTATCTAATAAAATTCAATATTTTCGATTTTTTTGTAATGAGTACATTGTATTACTTAGTATTTTAAACCTTTACTGAAAAATTATTAAGGTTTTAGTTTTAAATGGCATTATAAACTTCAAGATGTATTTTAAAGATTCTGTGAATCCTCTTACTTCTGAATTCATAAATACATCTAGGAATCCAATACATTATTACAAACATTAAAATTAGTCCAATTACTGATTACTAAATACATTTATTTTACCCCACATAATCATTGTGCATTACCAGTACAACAATTTCTGATTAAAGACTGAATGCTTTTCTTGAATAGGGTAATTCGTTTTTTAAAATACCCTTCACTTAATTAGATTTTAGATTCATTTGTTTGATTCTTACAAGTCCTTTATTCTTACACTCATCCTGAATTATTAACGTTAACTTAAGGTGCCTAGCAAAAAGGGGGTGGTTACGAAGCTCTTTAATTCTTATTATCGCTTCATTCATCCATACCACCAAGTTTTTGATTCTTTATCCTTGAGGTAAAAGAAACATAAGTATAGAGATGCAAGAATCATGACTCAAATATTTATTTTCGTATACAAATATATTTTATTTAACTATCCTTGAATCTACTACGGGTTTTCTGCTCTGTATCAATTGAAAGGCCACACAGAATCAAATGTAATGTACTTCTTATAACAGCAACAACAATTATTAATACCATATACTGAGTAAAATAAGACAAATTTTGAGAAAAAATATGAAAAATAACTTCATTGTATGATGCCATTACAATGAGACTATTACTATTAAACTTTTGCATAAAAACAATATTACTGACTGCTCTAGCCAAATGATTTTAAAATGTTTTTTCTAATGTTTTTTTTACATAAGTTATAAAAAAAGTTCAAACAATAAACGTTTATTTAAGGCTTATTAATATTATTTATTTAGAAATTACATAGAAGTATATTACATAGTAGTGTTAGTATTATGAAAAGAATAAAGTTTTAATTTAAATTATTTTTTTGTTCATAGCACTAATAACATTTTGTACGTTAGATAAAAAATCCCTAATTTATATACTGTAATTAAATTGAAAGTTTTTTCTCTAATACCCGTAAACTTTTTGATAAAAAATGTTTTGTTAAATTACGGTACATTCTTTAGAATAAGTAGTAAATTAGTGTTAAATCATATAGTACACCAAATAACTTATTTCTTCTGAAATATATAAAAAAGAGAAACATTGATTTCTTCATTTATAGAATATTGCATTTTCCGATCACGTAGAGTATACGCTTTCAAATATCCAATAACTCAAACACAACTTTGCTTTCCGTGCAACACCACTAATAGCGTGCCTTTACGTTTAACTAGTTTTTAACCTGATTTCATTTACAGAGTTACTAACCAACAGCAATTTTCCTTTTTTTAGGCTTACTTTCAACGAGTAAATGTTTGAGTTTACTTCTGAACAATTTATATCTGTAGCGTATACTTTATTTGAATAATGCTAAGCCTTAAATATTGATGCAACATTCATAAACTCAACAATAGTTAGTTTGATCATTGCACTATAAGATAAGCTTTCAACAATGCTATCTAGTCAGATAATTTATAATAAAAAAAAAATTTAACCTAATTAAAAAAACTATATGTTTGATAAGCGTTAGCTAACTGATGACAGTATTGAAATTTTTAATTTATATTTTTTTTATTAATTTTTATATTGATAAAGAGTTGTTTTATCTATTTCAAACGCATTTGGTACCTCATAACAGCTGATGATTAAGACTAGAAGTATTTTTTTAAATGCAATGTAATTCATTATTCTAAAACACTCAATGAGAAGATGTATCATTTGTATAAAAGAAAGGGTGTCGAAAAATTAAGAATTTTTTAGAAAATTTTGTCCTCAGAGAAATAAAAAAAAAACATTATGTGAAAAAACAGATAAATTTTTTTGAGTATATATTTATTTTGTGAAAAAATATTATTGTACCATTTTTTATGACTCCAATATAATAAAAAAGGAGCTACTATATTATTATTTTGCTTCATTTGGTATCATTACTCATAAAATTCTAATGAAAAGCTTAGTCTCCGGTAATTTAATAAAAAAATTTCAAGAAACTACGATTAGTAATTATTTTTTGAAAATGGCCAAACAACTTTTAACTTTTCAAAATTTAAAAGATGAATATTAATATTTTTATAAATCTTATGACACACAACTGACATTATATTTTGATGCAAAAATAATAATTCTCTTACCATCAAAGTATCAAATAAAAATTTTAAAGAGGTTCGTCTCTTCTTTCAGAGTACAGACAATTAGTCCAGATTAGTGAATTGCAATAAATTTTATGCACAAAATTTTTTGGAATTCTCAAACCAAATAAAGATTAGTTTAGAAGACCTTGTATAGTTCAGCGATCATTAAAAAAATTAATTACAGTAATTAATATTTGTACAGTAGTGCATGTAACAAAAATTATACTAAACTACACAAACATGTTTATCCTCTCGGTTACATAAAATGCTTCTGTTTTTAACTTGTCAACACTCAAATAGCATTTACATATTTATTTTCGAAATAAATATTTTAAAAACACAGATAATAGAACTTTTTTTAAATTTTCGACAATGTAAGTCTGAGTAGTCCTGGTGTTGAATTGAAAAAAAGTCCCCTTTCAAAACTATTCATTTTTTTAAAGTAAAAGCTCCTCATCAAATGAAAACTGTATGACAAAAAATTGTCTAAAAAATTGTCTGTTTATCTAAAATAAGAATTCTCTCCCATAAATTTCCATACGTAAAATGTAATACGAGCGTATCATATACACATATGATACGCATATAAGTTGAAAATCCTCTGATAACACATATTAATTGGACTGAAATCATCACCACTTAGTTTTTACAAACGAATCATATAAAATAAATAAACATTGCATATACATTTAAAAAGGTTCATTTGCATGCTTAAAAGGATAAGAAAGACATGAAAACTAATACATTTTTTAGGTATTTTATATTTTACAATTCACAAGGAATCCTAACCTTCAAACGTTCAATATACCAATCCTTAGTTTATTTAGCTATAAATTATTTAAAATTTAACTATTTTTAAGAGCATGGTATGGTTACATCCTGTGAAAGTAATGAAGGAATAATGATTGTAATATTTTGTGGAAACCTTTTAACAGTTATTTAAGAAATGAGAAACATTTTTAGCTCGTTTATTGTGGGAATTGTTTTTTTTTTTTTTTTAATCGAAGGTATTCGTTACATAACATTTACTTTATCCATTTAACGTAACATTATAACGTATCTTTTTAATATTTTCAATTTACTTATGTTGTGGAAATGAAAGAAATTATACTTTATAATGCCAAAGATTAGTCTAAATATTCCATACTTTTCATCTGCATAGTTTATGAGATTTTGTAGTTCAAAATTATAAGCTTACACATGAAGGACGGAAAATGTACTAAAAAAGCGCTTGTAAAGTGAAACATCTTTCCAAACGTAATTCACCATATTTATATAAAATATATCCACATTTCGGGAAAAAGTCGAACATTTTAGGGTAAAAAATCGACTCTCTGGAAAAAAATGAATAAAACTTTAAAAAGATCTCACGACATTTCATACTACTTATATTCTTATGGACATCTGAAGGTGGCAAAAAGCCATCCTACCACATTACTTCTTCATATTCGTCTATTATACATAAAAACACGTATCTACTCACGAAATTTATGGAATCAGTTTTGACTATCAGAAAATAACGAACGCTTTTTTGTAGTCTAAGAAGACTTAAAAATTTCTCGTTTACGTTCCAGACTTCGTTTAGGTTCTGACCAGATAAAAAACTGTCCAACTTTAGACATAGTCTAAAAGACACACAGGCACCCGAGAAATACCGAAAAATGTGTAATCTATCTTTCAATGCATTTTTTTTTAGTTTTTTTGTAACATCATGTGTACATAAATACTTAATTCTCATTAAGCTATGTTGTGTACAAAACTTTTTGGTCCTATCAAACCAAGTAAATATTAGTTTACATGGCCTTTTATGATTTAGTAAAAGGAACTTGCACGATCTTCTTTGATACCTACATTACACAGAATGAAGACTACAAGTTATTCAAGACCTACAAATCTAATGGAGGAATTAACTTTGAAAAATCCATCCCAATAACCCAAAACTTATCTTTATAACTCAAAAAAAGCGGATAAAATGAAAGTTTTCCTTGTAAACGCGCTGATAAAGTAAGTCGTTAAGTTACGTTCCAGCTAGTGATTTGTTTTACATTTACTTGTTGATAACTTTAAAAAGTCTTTGTATAGCTGGTCAATTCCTTAGTATGAAAACACTTTGTACCCAAATACATAACTGATTTCGGGAAATTTTTATCGAACAAAGGAATAACTATCTTAACAAAATAAGAGGGGAGTGAAAATAATCAGAAAGCACGTTAAGTAGATAAGATAATAATGGACTATGACTTATAAGATTCAAAAAAATAGTATGAATATTCTTTAATATTTTAACACAATAATTATGTCTTTACATAGTAATAATGAACAATATTGAAGCGCAATCCCTAGATGGTGGACATATCCATTGTTAATTTCCCCAACTAACTATTTCTAAGCCGAGTTTTAAAGTAAAGAGCTTGAAGTCGTACTATTCGTTGTAACAGAACTACAAATCGAGTACTTGCTATGAAAACTATAAAAAATTTCATACAAAATTTTTTTGTTAAAATAAACAATGATAAGTTTAACGACATAGCATATTTTTTAATATACAATTTTTGTGCAATT